TTTCCATAATATCTAGCCTAGACTATAGAGAATTCATAGGTGGTGTCAGCCTTCGGGTTTGATTAGGGCTGTCGGGGTGCACCAATTGTTGGGCTCTTGTCGTAAAAAATTTCTGACTCTCTTCGTGCAGTGATTTCAACACTTCGATTTCTGCCAGCGCTATGGTGGTCTCGTACCATATTGGTCCTGGTCGGCATTGATTGGTCTTGTAGTTGAAGGTTGTAGTTGACACCTACGTCGCGGTCGTCCTCCTTGCTGTCGAATTTTGGAATAATTTTGTTAAAGGTCGTAATTAGGTTGTAATTAGTTGTTGATTAGCATTATTCTAGGGTCCTTATTTATATTCTTTCCTTAGATAGATTCCTAGATTTTGTATATATATGTGTAACCCTTTTCCAAAATATATGGGAAAATATTCTTCACAATATTATTCACAGGTGAATATCATACAAATTGTGGTTCAAAGGTTATGATTCGCGAGGGAGGAGATTATTTCATCCAACTTAAGCAAAAGCTTGAAGCTTAAAAAGTTAGGTTGTTAGTACGCTTTAAGTTCAAAGGATTCCAACAATTAGATTTCCACACAATAATGGGAGTTACTCTCAGTTTTTCTCTTGGAATTGTGAATGCTTAATGCCAAGTGGATGGAATCCTTTTTTCATGCTATATTACTTACTATTAGTATAGTATCTGATGTATATGCATACACCGCGAGGTATTTCAATTTCAATTAATGTTCAATGTATTGAAAGGTTTGGATACTGGTTTGGCATTAGTCCTAGAGTCCCTTGAATTTTGTCTGCAATTGCGTGGTTCTGAAGCTTGTGTATTGGAGGACTTAACAAAGGCAATTAATTTGGTCCATGTGCGGCGGGGTCTTGTCGAGAGTGGTCATGCATTGTTGAATCATGCTCATCATGCACAACAAGAATATGAAAGGTACTACTTTTATCCCTTCCTATATTTGGAATGGGAACCTCGTATCTTTGAGGTTTGTATCTCTTACGAAACCCTTTTTCTCTTGTTCTCTATTGATGCTATGTTAAGGTTTATTCAAATTTTAAGCCAGCACTGGGAGGACCCAAGCAAATTCAAGTCTACAGTTTAGGTCAATTTCTGACGTTAATTGGTTTTAAAACTTCCCTACATTTTGTTATCTTATAGCGATAGGAAACACAGGAATTAAAAACCAATTCATTTGGGCCTTGCTTGTTTCATGGAAATGGTGGTTCAGTTACTAACAGAACGATACTTCCTTTATGATCATGGGAGGTAAACTCTGACTCTAATGTAGGAAGTATTACTTCACATGCTCGGCAGGAAATGCTCCCCATCTTTCGAGATGAAAGTACCCCCACATCTGGTGACACATAAATATCATGCTTTAATATAAAAACTTTCCACTTCTTTTTTGATATATAAGTTTGTTAAATTTGTTTGTGTGAACAGGTGAAGTGAAATATTTTAATTTTAGTTTCTTTTGATGCATTTGTTTCTGGTAAACTTACACAGCTGGAATGATACAGTACTATGAGCATGTAATCCAGACGCAATATGCACGGGAAGTTTGTTTTTCTGCATTTGTAGTTGCGAAGGAAACATATAAACAACATTTTCCTGGCAATTATTTCTAGGAATTGACTTCTAGGATAATGAAAATTCCCATTAAAAGTTTTTTCTTTATCCTAATTACACCTTGTACTTTTTTTGTTGGGAACAAATACATCTTTATTGGTATTGTTGACTACTTGACTCTTCTTGCTAAACAATAAATTACTGTCTGAATTTAACCGCCGAACAAGACAGAATTCTTAAGGAGAAGTGGTTACCTGAACTGAAAAATGCAGTTCTAAATGCTCAAAAATGCCTTGAAGACTGCAAATATGTCTGGCTTGGTAAGATGTTCCTACACTACAATTTATTTTCCATTCTAAAAAAATACTTGTAATACTTTACGGTTTTGGCTTAGACTTTTGACTTGGTTAATTGTGTGATTGCACCAACTGAAGCTTCTGAATTTAATGTTCGAATGCCATTGCTGACCAATAATTCTTTTTCTTTTTCCTTTTATTGTAAATATTATGTAACAATGAATTACTTATAGCGTACTCTGATCTTGTAACCAACCAATTCATATAATCAATCTATGTGTCTGCAACTGCTACTAACTTTTGCACTATTTTTCAGTTTCTCATTTTTCATGGCTGACTTTTGTACCTTGTTCTCACGTGACTTCGCTTTAATGTTCTATTTCTGTCAAAGTAACATTACAAATTCCCACCTTGGGAGATCTGGAAAGGCTAGACTGGGAGCATAATTACGGTATCAGTTTCGCAAAGGGGCTATTCCTTAGATGTCACGAGCTTTTGGTTTTGAACCTAAGCATTTTATGCAAACTCCATGTTGGAAAATATATGTTCCCCTTGTTTAATTCTCAATTTGTTGGAAATCACTGTGTTATTAATCATAGACACCCGCAAATTCATTTTTTTGGTTATTGCTTTTATGCGTACAATTGTAGCCAGGCACCAACTTATCTTATTGTAATCTTGTTATATTTCGTACACATGGAAAAGGTGCTGACTCATGAGAGGTCCATTTGAAATTAAAAAAGTCCAAATATATGTATGAATGCTTGTCCATCAGAGTACGGAGCAGCTATCAATATTTGAATTCGTTTGACAGTGAAAATGTACCAAAGAAATGCTGAATGGTGGGAACAACCTGCATCAACTGTAGTTGATTGGGTTTCTGTTGATGAAGAAACGTTGCTGCATGGCAAAATCACGTGAAGCAGCTCCTTGCATTTTATGACAAGTAACACATCTGCAATAGATTTTTTGGCTGCGAAAAAACATTTTTTTTCCTCTGGAAAGCCTCATGGTTTACAACCTACAGTGCCAATGTTTGTACATGATGAATTCAGAATATGGTAGCTGAATCTGCTGGCAGTCCAGTCGAGGTAGACTTGCTAATGCTGTTTACGTCATTACTAATTTATATGGAAGATGAGGAGAGGGGGCAAAGAAGCACGGCCGATTCCTCTGTACTAAATGGTGTTGTAACTGTTCTGCTACTTGTACAGACGATTCTTTGGATGTTTTCCAGTTCTGTTTGTGAGAAATTGCTATACATTTTTTTCCTGGATTGATTATCACTATTCCGAGGCGGTGTGTTGTTGTTACTGTGGGGACTTGTATTTTGCGGGGCTCTTTTTTCTGTAAGATTATGTGCTAATTGTTATGAGTGATGATTATTTCTGTATACTTAACCGGTGGAATTTATAAATTTTAGTTCTGTCTACTAAGGACATGAGTGTATTGAGGCAAATGATGATACAAAATTTGTTTAGTTCCATCTCCAAACTGTTAGTAAATGTACTTGAATGTGAACTAATGCTGTCAATGTACTTAAACGCTTATAAGTTACTTTTTTTTAGAAAGTGAATAAAATAGCTGCCACAATTATTGCATTTGTTCATTTTCATTAAAAGAGAACTAGTAATTTTACATGTGCTACTCAATGACGACTCTGGAGCCCGGAGAATGTGGTGCTAAGTAGTGAGAGCCTGGAGGTACCGTTTTACGACTCTACCATAAATTATTCTTATAATNATTTAATCATATATGTGATCTTTCTATATCTCTATAAAAAATATCAACATATAAGAAATCATTTAGGCCCCGTTCGGGAGGGATTAAAATCCAATTAAAATTGAAAATATGGCCGTTATTGGGTCCCACTCGTCTAATAAAAGTCAACAATAACGGCTATATTTTCAATTTTAATCTAATTTTAATCCCTCCCAAACAAGCTCTCAAATGTGCTCATATAGAATAAATTTTTTTTTTTTTTACTTGCACTTTTTCTAAATGTGACCCAAAATAAGTCACAAGTCACCATCACTAAGATGTTGCATTTAAATCATTTCCATTTACCTAGCCCATTCTCATTTTCACTTCATTTTTAATTTTGTTTCACTTTTCTATGCCTAGTTGCCTACTTTCTTTAATACTCATCATCTAATTAAGAAATTTCCGAAATTAATTACTCTCTACTATTCTTGAAATTCTAAAAATGCTGTCAAATTAATTCTTTTCTATCCAACCTTATCATATACAAAATAAACACGACCCGCTTCGATTAATTCCGGGGACTCACATATGATGAATGCATGTGCTAGACCTATAATCAAGATTAACTATAACTTGTTTCGAACCTCCATTAGGACCATTACCTCCCAACCCCGGCACCTCATCTCTACCCAACTCTTACCTTCTTCACTTCTCTCAATTTTTACTCCACTCATCTCTATCCTTACCTCCATAACGACGGATGGGAAAGGGTATTAAGTCCACTAGGTTGGGCATTAGGATGAAATGGGGCATGTGATAGCGAGGTTGGGAGTTAATGGAAAGATGCGTTACATAAATAGAACGTAGTATTAAATTTGTATTTTTTTTTTTTTTTTTACACGAGACATTATAAAATTTACTGCGACAAAAATAGTGAATATGGTTAATTAGAAGGTCTCTCGTACAATTTTTCTATGAAATTTTCTTGCTTTGCCTAATGGTAATAAAGCATTAAAAGTGGGGTACTTGTAAGTCAATTACGGACCAATTGTAAGTAATTGTGGAAAAACATGTGCTCAAAAGAATGGAGAATTTAAGTTGTCTTGGCATTCTATGTTAAAAGGAGTACAACATAGTGAACAAGGACATTGCCACAAAAATAAAAAAAAAGTTGCTTTATAGCTAAGGCTATAAATGGATCTGTCCATATCCGATTCAATTCGATAAGAATAATTATTCGAACGGATATTTGATTGTTAAATTCATATCCAATTTTCTATATTATCGGATATTGGATCCGATAATCCAATCTGAAATTGAAGAAATTAGGAAGATAAAATTTTATATTAATCAACTTTTAAGCCCTAGAATTAAAAAAACCCAGATAGTTTTTTACTCAATTCTTGGCCCATCTATTTATAGATTAAAAATCGTATGATATTCTAGTAAGTATCCGATGCGGGAAGAGAGAAGTTGATAACAATGAAAGCAGCCCCAATTGTCGCCCCGTTTGGTGGTTTAATTTATAAAATAAAATAATAATTATTTTATCTTATTTTAGTTTATAAAAAATTTAAAAATCTCTAAATATTTCAATTAACAATATCATACTATTATCTAATATTATTTATTAGTTTAAAATTATGTGTAAAATATAATACAGGTTTTAAAATGAAAAAAAAATGTATGTGTAATAAATTATACGATAATATATGAAATATATTATATTATTATAACAAATTGTATTAGATTTACCTATATTCATATTTGTTTCATTTAGTTAACGGATTATTGGATTTAGATCTTAATCGGGTTATCGGACGGAGATCTTAAATCCATCCCCCATTAATTTCATCGAATTTGGATTGAATCCGAATCAAAATACAGTTCATTGACAACCCTATTTACCATTTTAGACACATTCTAAGCATGGCCTATGTATATAGAAGATCATACATACATATTGGCGCGATGATGAAACTCCAGTCTTGTGGGTTGACTTATTAATATGATCAAGCCTATTAATGTCGTTTCAAGTAGTATTTTTACACAACTTGATATTTCGTTGGTTTTATATGCATCTAATCTCATACTTGTTGAAGTAGACGAAGCATCATTAAGTCCCCGTTTGGTGTAACTAAAAATCAAGTTTTTAGTAGATTTTGATAAGTAGTTGAGATGTGTGAATTATGATTGAAAAGCTGATAAAAATTGTGAGTTCTGTTAAAATTATGATTAAAATTAATTGTTAACTTTAAATTAAATTTTTAAAACTTTTTAAGCCACAACAATCATGGGCTAAACATAAATTGTTGAATTCAATGCAATGCAATTCAATTCAGTTCAACTCTAGTCTCTATATCTACTAGTCATAAATGTTTACCAAAATAAAAACATATAATCTAAGAATTTCATGTTTGGATGTTTTTAAAATTCAGTCAAATAAAAGTATAACACATTTTTATTTCCTAATTATCCTCAGAATCGACAAGTGTAAACTGTAAATAGATTTTAACATTCAAGCTATAGTTTTCAACTAATTAAAAATTTAGTCAAATAAGAAAATAATGTAGAAATAAAATAAACTCGCCCATTTCAATTTAGAAGGAAATGGATAAGTGTATTTGATGCATTTATTTGGACCTAAAAACATAGACATTTAATAGTTCTTTTCAACAATTATAGCCTAATTTATTGTATATTTAGTTTATTAGATGAAACTCGATGAAATGAAGTGAAATTGAAAGAAAGAAACAAAAATGGCGAGATATAAAAAGATTCAAAGTTTGGAGACTAACGTGCAAACACTCAAAAGTTTTGTCGAACCTCACGATGAAGATTCAAGAATGTTAGGGGTCAATTAGAAGTCAAAAAGAAGTGAAATATGATCAAAATATTTTCACAAATCAATTTCCATTCGCACAATTATTTCAAGATTTTGAATCGGAGATTGAGACCCATTTTTGACATAGTAAACGTTCGAATTGAAAAAAAAAAACTATCTCTAGCAAAATTTTATCCATTTGAGTTATCTTTCCAAAGCATTTTAAATCGCCTTAACCAAATATCAGAAGAAAAATATATGACAAAAATATTGAAAAAGATGCAGAGTGGAAGCAGCAAGTGGAGCCGAGACGCCATATTTCTAGAAGAAATATTCGCCCATGGTGCCTAGGTGCCGCCCGCCGTCAAATAGGGTTTTCAGTGCAATTCAACTTTTTAAAAGCACAACTCAACTAAAACTCTTCCAAGACTTGAATAAGACATAAATACAACTCTAGAAAACACAATTTGGGGGGAGAGAGAAACACATAATCATCAAAATCAAAGAGCAAAAGTTAGGATTTGAAGACTCGAGGTCTAAGAAGACTTTTGGTGTAAGATCAAATTCTTTCTATAATCAAGATTTCAAAACTCGGTTATGAATTCTATACTTTTTGTTTTTCTTTTATCGTTACGAGTAGCTAAATTCATATGTAGGACGAACAATATAATCTATGTGTGACCCTTTATTTCTTTTATTCAAGATTCTAATTCTTTAAATGCATATCTGTTGATTTTATTCATGAATTTAATACTTTGAATTCTTTAGTCAATTATTCAATGATTTTGTGAATCTATTACAAACCGAGATGTGGGTTTTAGATTTAGACCACATAGTAAAATTCGACAATTTAGTATAACGTGTCGAGATACATATACTAATTATTACAATCATTAGATGAATTTTTAGAACTAATATTTCATTAAACTAAGATTGATTCACACATAGATATGAAATTGAATTAATTAAATAAACTCAATGAGAACTCGAGATGGGTAAATTGAATATTTTAGAAGAATTACACTGAATACTAAATAGAAATGAATGTTGATTGGCGAATTAAAGGGGATCCATAGGTAAAATTGTAAGTTCTAACATGCACATTCATACTTTTAAAACTCAAATTCGATAAATTATGTACGTTAGATAATTTAGTAGTTAGAATAATTTAGACACCAATCACAAATATTATTATTATTATTATTATTATTATTATTATTATTATTATTATTAGAGTTAGTAATAATTTAACCGACTGTTAGATAGTAATTCTCGTGAGAACAATATCCAAATACATTGGTGCACTATATTACTTGTTACGATCCGTATACACTTACAAGATATAAAATCGACAACAAGTTTTTGGCATCGTTATCAGAGATTATTTTTATTTAATATTGGTTTTAATTATTTCTTGTTTTTATTTGATTTTTTTTTTCTTTTTTCGATTGATCTACTTATTTTTCTTTACTCCATTGATAAGGAATAAAAAGAAGCCAAAGGTCAAAAGATTCATAATGATTGATCCCAACTTAAATGAAAGTGACATGCTATTTGGAGAATTCCCCTTTAGACACGAACTTAAAAAGTAGAGATACAATCAACTTATTGTATTTGATAAGGATGACTTCCTGGATGGACTAAATATCAAATCTATTGTTTATGGGGGAGATTAGACCAACTTGTGAATATTATAGTGCATTGCATTATACTAAAAATTGCTTGTTATTAGCAACTCCAGAGGAAGTAAGG